GTGACTTGGTAAAATGCTATGCCCAAGATTACTATCCGAGTGCCGGCGGTGGGGTGGTTCAAATAGCCTCGGCTATCACCTCATTTTGTCCGGTCGTGATGGTCAAGTGGATTAAGGCGTCTTGTACATACCAGTTGCGTTGCTTCTGGGAGTATGGGTTCGAGTCACTTCTGGGGTGTGAGTTTTCAGTTGCATATTGTCCTGGGGACCATTCAGGCTTGTTCGCATTTGTGTTCCTCACGTGTGCCCCAAAGAATGAGGTGACTTGGTAAAATGCTATGCCCAAGATTACTATCCGAGTGCCGGCGGTGGGGTGGTTCAAATAGCCTCGGCTATCACCTCATTTTGTCCGGTCGTGATGGTCAAGTGGATTAAGGCGTCTTGTACATACCAGTTGCGTTGCTTCTGGGAGTATGGGTTCGAGTCACTTCTGGGGTGTGAGTTTTCAGTTGCATATTGTCCTGGGGACCATTCAGGCTTGTTCGCATTTGTGTTCTTCACGTGTGCCCCAAAGAATGAGGTGACTTGCTAAAATGCTATGCCCAAGATTACTATCCGAGTGCCGGCGGTGGGGTGGTTCAAATAGCCTCGGCTATCACCTCATTTTGTCCGGTCGTGATGGTCAAGTGGATTAAGGCGTCTTGTACATACCAGTTGCGTTGCTTCTGGGAGTATGGGTTCGAGTCACTTCTGGGGTGTGAGTTTTCAGTTGCATATTGTCCTGGGGACCATTCAGGCTTGTTCGCATTTGTGTTCCTCACGTGTGCCCCAAAGAATGAGGTGACTTGGTAAAATGCTATGCCCAAGATTACTATCCGAGTGCCGGCGGTGGGGTGGTTCAAATAGCCTCGGCTATCACCTCATTTTGTCCGGTCGTGATGGTCAAGTGGATTAAGGCGTCTTGTACATACCAGTTGCGTTGCTTCTGGGAGTATGGGTTCGAGTCACTTCTGGGGTGTGAGTTTTCAGTTGCATATTGTCCTGGGGACCATTCAGGCTTGTTCGCATTTGTGTTCCTCACGTGTGCCCCAAAGAATGAGGTGACTTGGTAAAATGCTATGCCCAAGATTACTATCCGAGTGCCGGCGGTGGGGTGGTTCAAATAGCCTCGGCTATCACCTCATTTTGTCCGGTCGTGATGGTCAAGTGGATTAAGGCGTCTTGTACATACCAGTTGCGTTGCTTCTGGGAGTATGGGTTCGAGTCACTTCTGGGGTGTGAGTTTCCAGTTATATATATATATATATATATATAATATAATATTTTGGTAGCAGTCTTTCCTGTAGACATATATTATTAAATATGACCGAAAAAGTAAGATTAATAATTCTAACACGAATTTTCTCAATATTTCTTATGGTTCTTTTCACTGTTGATGGTAATTGAAAAACCAGTTCTCCAAAATTAATTTTTATTTCTAGTCTGACGCAACACTTGAACGCGTTTCGTAATAACTTATTACATTTTCAAAGACTTTAGTTTACACACACACAACTATAACCTGCAAACACTAAACAGAGTTTAAACAGCTTTGATTTTATACCTGCATTTGGGTGAGGTGATATGATACAACAGTTTTGGATGAGGTGAAAACAAACTTTAAACACAAGACAGAACACGAAACAATGGGTATAATATTGGGTAAGTTAAAGGGAAGAATGGAACTGTAAAGGGCCTATTGGCCCATATTTCTTGATGCGTCTATATTGGTGCGGAGTTTTGAAGTGGGTAGAATATAGTTGTGCATTAATTGGCTGTTGATTGCTGGTGTCGACTTCTTAATGTGTAACTCGCAGATATCTAGCCGCCTGCTGTCGCTGTATCTATCGATGATTTCCGTGTTTTTTGTTAAGACTTCTCTGGTGATGGTCTGGTTGTGGGAAGAGATTATATGTTCCTGAATGGCGCACTGTTGCTTATGCATCGTTAATCGCCTGGAAAGAGATGTTGTTGTCTTGCCTATATACTGAATTCTTTGAGGCTTACAGTCCCCAAGTGGGCATTTGAAGGCATAGACGACATTGGTCTCTTTTAAAGCGTTCTGTTTTGTGTCTGGAGAGTTTCTCTTGAGTAGATTGGCCGTTTTCTTGGTTTTATAGTAGATCGTCAATTGTATCTTCTGATTTTTGTCTGTAGGGATAACGTTCCTATTAACAATATCTTTCAGGACACTTTCCTCCGTTTTATGAGCTGTGGAAAAGAAGTTCCTGTAAAATAGTCTAATAGGGGGTATAGGTGTTGTGTTAGTTGTCTCTTCAGAGGTTGCATGGCGTTTCACCTTCCTTCTTATGATCTCTTCAACGAAACCATTGGAGAAGCCGTTGTTGACTAGGACCTGCCTTACCCTACAGAGTTCTTCGTCGACTTGCTTCCATCCTGAGCTGTGGCTGAGAGCACGGTCGACATAAGCGTTAACAACACTCATCTTGTACCTGCCTGGGCAGTCACTGTTGGCATTGAGGCACATTCCTATATTTGTTTCTTTAGTGTAGACTGCAGTGTGGAAACCTCCGCTCCTTTCCATGACTGTTCCATCTAGAAAGGGCAGCTTCCCCTCCTTCTCCATCTCGTAAGTGAAACGCAACACAGAACTCCGCTCAAATGCCTCCTTCAGCTCCTGCAGATGTCTGACATCAGGTACCTGTGTAAAAATGTCGTCAACATACCTGTAGTATATGGCCGGTTTCAGGTTCATGTCAACTAAGACCTTTTGTTCGATGGTACCCATGTAGAAGTTCGCAAACAGGACACCGTGGGGAGAACCCATGGCGACCCCATCTACTTGCATATACATGTGCCCATCCGGGCTCAAGAAGGGTGCCTCTTTAGTACAAGCTTGGAGTAGTTTCCTTAGAATATTTTCTGGTATGTCAAGAGGAGTACAGGCCGGATGGCGATACACTCTGTCCGCTATCATCCCGATTGTTTCATCCACAGGTACGTCGGTAAACAGTGATTCTACCAACCAACCTGTGTTAAAGCTCAGCAAGCGGCGTGCCAGTGCCAAAGCTCAGTCAATCACCTAAGAACATCAACTTGGAGACGGAAATTCTCCCGCCGGCGGCCAATTCAAATCGAGCTCAATCTGGGAGTGTCCAATATTTCAGGAGATAACTGGCCGGGTGTAACAAAAGCCAATATCACACTGCTACATTTTCACAGCCTTCACCTGTTACAGCGAGCCTGGTGCGGCGTGACCAGGTCACCTGTGGTAACCCTACACCCGCATAACGCATGCTGCGAGTCCATCACAGCTTACTGAAACACAAACTCCCATATACTGTTCTAATAGTCTGCAAGAACAACAGTTGTGTTCATCGAGAGAGGTGAACAACAGCAGATATGCGTTACTTGTTTGAATGGAACAGTCTAATCAACACGCTGGACTTGTGATCCTGTGGTCCCGGGTTCGATCCCAGGCGCCGGCGAGAAACAATGGGCAGAGTTTCTTTCACCCTATGCCCCTGTTACCTAGCAGTAAAATAGGTACCTGGGTGTTAGTCAGCTGTCACGGGCTGCTTCCTGGGGGTGGAGGCCTGGTCGAGGACCGGGCCGCGGGGACACTAAAGCCCCGAAATCATCTCAAGATAACCTCAAGATGGTTACTTGTTTCTGTTGGTTGGTTGCCATTGTTTGGGACGTGAAGGCTGTTAAGCTAATTAGGGGTCCCTCTAGAGGCTTATATCAACTACTGACCGTCCACCAGGAGGCGTCCACAACAGGTTCCTTGTTCCTAACTCATGGGTTCCTGGGGCCAGATTCACGAAGCTGTTACGCAAGTATTTACGAACGTGTACATCTTTCCTCAATCTTTGATGGCTTTGATTACATTATTAAACAGTTTACAAGCATGAAAACTTCCCAATCAACTGTTGTTATTGTTATAAACAGCCTCCTGGTGCTTCGGGGCTCATTAACTGTTTAATATTTGGAAACAAAGTCGCCAAAGATTGAGAAATAATGTACAGGTTCAACCCGTCCTCGACTCAAGTCCATTCCATCCAGCGGTCGACCCCACAGACGCATTCATAAATGTTAACATGCTGTTCATTCAAAACAGGAATTTTCTCAAATATAAATTAATATTATAATATATTATCATATTGTGTATATATAAGCATAGGATAGGTTAGGTGTTTAGGTTCTGTTGGCGATTATTTGTATATGTAGTACGTGGGTGAAGCATTTACAGCGTTGTGGTTCGAATAAAATTCGTCAGTGAAGCACTTGTTCCGGAAGTGTTCGAACGTCAGCAGTTGTGAGTCGTGTGTAAACTGATTTTCATTCATAAACAGCTGGGGGTTTGGCGGGTGCATGGAATCACTTTTGGGTCTTTATTTGGAGGACGGGCTGACAGGTTCGTAAGTGCTTGCGTAACTGCTTCGTGAATCTGGCCACTATCAGGCGAGAGTCTGACTTGGGCGATACATCTTTCAAATGATAACGCAGGTGTCCTAAGGCCACCTTGGCCTTGACAGAAACCTCGCATAAGTGAAAGGAAACGTGCCCAAATATCTGTATCCTTCTGTCGGAATCAACCAGATACCTTTCGGTTGTGACCTGACAGCGCTGACCACTACGCTGTATGACCCTTAAGTAAAGACTTCAATTTCCTTGCGTCTTTGATGGTTTACGTTGTGTAAACCAAGAAAACTGGAGTTGTTTTGGCTACAGAAACATAAGGAGCTGGTCAACCAAGTAATCTGTCCACTCCCAGACTAGTTTTATATATCACTAAACAGTAATTTCAACGAGGAAGTTGATTGCATAGAAATGAGCATGTATTAGACGGCATAGCTTACATATTCTTCCCAGCTTAGTGCCGTCTTTTGATAATTACTTACTAAGATGACATAGATAAATCTGCGATTTAGTAATGTAATTTAAAAATCACAAAATGTGGATGAAAGACTTATAATTCAAAAGATGGAATACCCAAGGTATGTGCTGCTCTCTTGCGGCCACATCGAGAAACATGTCAATGTTTACAAAGCACCGCTGGTATCAGAAGACTGATTTTTTCTTTTTTGCGTTGTAGTTGCGGGCCGAACAACCCAGTGTTCCCTGTGTGGGGCGGGGCCGGTGCTCGTCACCCTGAGGGACTCCACGAGCTCCCAAATCATCTGATTATCTGTGTGTTTACTGGCCGCGAAGCACGTTAGTTCCCGGTGATAAAGTGACAGTCATTTCGCCATTAGGCTTCGCGAGTAACCCTTCACGGGAACGTCGGAGCTCGTAAAGTCCCACGTTCCTCGTCCACATTAACTCAAGTGATTTCTACTATTAGGTAAGTTTATCTATTTAATAGTTTTACTTTTGTTAGTTCGCGGGAGAAATAATCACAGTGTCGTTATTAAATACAGTGTAAATATGTGTCAGCTTTCAGTATACATATTATAATAATATTAGATGTTTACAAGACTTTGCAAACGGAGCCATGGCGCAAGAAAGTATCTTTCCATGATATATAACTTAAAAGGGGAACTGTTTAGGACTTTAATTAAAGTATTTGTTAGTGTGTAAGCTGTTGTTATGGCCTTAACAGCCGTAGCTAACACTCGTTAATCTCAACGAACCCAAAATTTTCGTTCTGTGGCAAATTTTTGTACTTGGTGCACTCGCTAGATGTCGCACTGTGTACCAAAACATTATATATATAACCAGCCTCATATATATATATATATATATATATATATATATATATATATATATATATATATATATATATATATATATATATATATATATATATATATATATATATAATATATTACACAGCATGCTGAGCATCCTTGACATAACGTGACAGCATTACATTCCCGCCTGTAGAGAGAAGAAAGGTTGCCACAATATGACTGCTTGCTGTACATAGCTACAAACTTTGTTTAGCTGTGGTGGGAGCGCCGGAGAACACAAGTGGTACACCTGCTGGTAATAAGGGGACTGTAATAAGGGTAATAAGGGTAATGTAATAAGGGTAATGAATGTCGGGAAGTAAAGGCCACCTTTATTCTGGAGCAGAGAGCAGGTGGGGCAGAGGCAAGGTGTCAACAGTACACAATGTTATATAAAAGTGTCAACAAGTGTGATCCTTGGCCGCCTGTTATTGCTTCTCTCTATCTCCTATGTTATGGTGTCTCTTCCTGGTGGTCCTGGTGGACCTGGTGGACCTGGTGGACCTGGTGGTCCTGGTGGTCCTGGGAGGTGGACCTGGTGGTCCTGGGAGGTGGACCTGGGAGGTGGTCCTGGGAGGTGGACCTGGGAGGTGGACCTGGTGGACCTGGTGGACCTGGGAGGTGGACCTGGGAGGTGGACCTGGTGGACCTGGGAGGTGCAGGTGGTGGACGTGGTGGACCTGGTGGACCTGGTGGACCTGGTGGACCTGGTGGACCTGGGAGGTGGACCTGGTGGACCTGGGGGACCTGGGAGGTGCAGGTGGTGGACCTGGTGGTCCTGGTGGTCCTGGTGGACCTGGTGGTCCTGGGAGGTGGACCTGGTGGACCTGGGAGGTGGACCTGGTGGACCTGGGAGGTGGACCTGGTGGACCTGGGAGGTGGACCTGGTGGACCTGGGATGTGGGGGTGGTGGACCTGGGATGTGGGGGTGGTGGACCTGGGGGACCTGGGAGGTGCAGGTGGTGGACCTGGTGGACCTGGTGGACCTGGTGGACCTGGGAGGTGCAGGTGGTGGACCTGGTGGACCTGGGAGGTGGACCTGGTGGACCTGGGAGGTGGACCTGGTGGACCTGGGAGGTGGGGGTGGTGGACCTGGGAGGTGGACCTGGTGGACCTGGGAGGTGGACCTGGTGGACCTGGGAGGTGGACCTGGTGGACCTGGGAGGTGGGGGTGGTGGACCAGGGAGGTGGACCTGGTGGACCTGGGATGTGGGGGTGGTGGACCTGGTGGACCTGGGAGGTGGACCTGGGAGGTGGGGGTGGTGGACCTGGGGGACCTGGGAGGTGCAGGTGGTGGACCTGGTGGTCCTGGTGGACCTGGTGGACCTGGTGGTCCTGGTGGACCTGGTGGACCTGGGAGGTGCAGGTGGTGGACCTGGTGGTCCTGGTGGACCTGGTGGACCTGGGAGGTGGACCTGGGAGGTGGACCTGGTGGACCTGGGAGGTGGACCTGGGAGGTGGACCTGGGAGGTGGACCTGGTTGACCTGGGAGGTGGACCTGGTGGACCTGGGAGGTGGACCTGGTGGACCTGGGAGGTGGACCTGGTGGACCTGGGAGGTGGACCTGGTGGACCTGGGATGTGGGGGTGGTGGACCTGGGATGTGGGGGTGGTGGACCTGGGGGACCTGGGAGGTGCAGGTGGTGGACCTGGTGGACCTGGGAGGTGGACCTGGTGGACCTGGTGGACCTGGTGGACCAGGGAGGTGGACCTGGTGGACCTGGGATGTGGGGGTGGTGGACCTGGGGGACCTGGGAGGTGGGGGTGGTGGACCTGGTGGACCTGGGATGTGGGGGTGGTGGACCTGGGGGACCTGGGAGGTGGACCTGGGGGACCTGGGAGGTGGACCTGGTGGACCTGGGAGGTGGACCTGGGGGACCTGGGAGGTGGACCTGGTGGACCTGGGATGTGGAGGTGGTGGACCTGGGGGACCTGGGAGGTGCAGGTGGTGGACCTGGTGGACCTGGGAGGTGGACCTGGTGGACCTGGTGGACCTGGTGGACCAGGGAGGTGGACCTGGTGGACCTGGGATGTGGGGGTGGTGGACCTGGGATGTGGGGGTGGTGGACCTGGGGGACCTGGGAGGTGCAGGTGGTGGACCTGGTGGACCTGGGATGTGGGGGTGGTGGACCTGGTGGACCTGGGATGTGGGGGTGGTGGACCTGGTGGACCTGGGATGTGGGGGTGGTGGACCTGGTGGACCTGGGATGTGGGGGTGGTGGACCTGGGGGACCTGGGAGGTGCAGGTGGTGGACCTGGTGGACCTGGGATGTGGGGGTGGTGGACCTGGGGGACCTGGGAGGTGCAGGTGGTGGACCTGGTGGACCTGGGAGGTGGACCTGGTGGACCTGGGATGTGGGGGTGGTGGACCTGGGGGACCTGGGAGGTGGACCTGGTGGACCTGGGATGTGGGGGTGGTGGACCTGGTGGACCTGGGAGGTGGACCTGGGATGTGGGGGTGGTGGACCTGGTGGACCTGGGATGTGGGGGTGGTGGACCTGGGGGACCTGGGAGGTGCAGGTGGTGGACCTGGTGGACCTGGGAGGTGGACCTGGTGGACCGGGGACACGCAGGCGGGGGGGGGGGGGAGGGGGCACACACCAGTAAGGTGTTGAGGTGTCGTCCAAGACCAGCGGAAGGTTTCACAGTTCCTGGACTGTGTAAGGCTTATCATTGTACAACACTTCCCAGGTGTTGGACGCTGAGTAGATCAGCCGCTGACACGTGGTTCATAGACCCTAGACCTTAGGCCTATCACCCGCTGACACGTGGTTCATAGACCCTAGACCTTAGGCCTATCACCCGCCGACACGTGGCTCATAGACCCTAGACCTTAGGCCTATCACCCGCAAGAGGATTATTATTAGCTACCAACAAATATATATTAGGCCTAAACAAGGTTTATATTATAGTAAACTTTCACTGTATACACACTGGGGAGCGGGAAGTACACCTCTCTCTGGAGTGTACTGTACACCTGTGCCACAATACCCTGATGTTATCGAGTTATTATGACATAATGAACACGTAAACAATTTTAGGAAGCTGTTATCGCAACCCGCCTCTACACGGACGCCGTCTTGTTGAATCAGTTCTAATACACAATGTACCCAACATGAACTTGAGTCCTGGCTTTGTTGCTGTGGACTTTTCCCTTTCACAGTATATACTCAAATGCTCTAAACTTTGTAACAAACGTGACCTAACATAAGCTTACCTCTTCCATTTATCTTTCTCTTTCCCTTCATTCTTTTTCTTTCCCTTGTTTTCTCTTACGATCCCTTTCTTATTCCTGTTACTATCCCTCTTTATTACACTTTACTTTTCGTACCTTTTGCCTTGCATTTTCTTCCTCTAAGATTTTCTTTTCACCTCTCTCTTGGTTATTTATTTCCTTCGCCTCCTTCCCTCATGACAATGGACTTGAGAATGGTCCAGGACGGACCGAAACGTCGTCGTCGTCCCTTCACCTTCTAGTGAGTGGTCTGGTCAACGAGGTTCCGTTAAGCAGAGTCAACTACTCAGTATTATATTGAGTTGTCATTTAATATAAATAATTTAACGAATTGAACGTTTTACTGTGATTAAATACTCATATGAGATAAATATTTTAATGATTTGAGTTAGTTTAATAGTACCTAGGACTACACAGTGTATGTAGTGACTGGTTAGTAAGTTAGCCTTAACAACCCTTCAGAGGTTGGTCAGTAGGCTGTTGCCTTAACAACCCTCTCTTGGGCAAGAGGTGGTAAGCCACCACCAAACTATGCCAGTCCTCCCTCAGGGCCACAAACACGGGCCCCCAACACCCCACACCACACACCAACACGTGGGCCCCAACCTACAAAGTCATGGTAGTTTACCAGCGAGGTTAACGACGTAGTTTACAATGTTGGGAAAGTGATAGCAAAGGGATATAATTTTAGTTTTATTGTGTTTATCCCATAAGCTGTTTTTTATTTGATTTTTTATACCAAACATATTTAATAGTTGTTGTTGCATCATGGTTAAAATAATTGCTTTAAATAATTTATTATTAATACATATTCATACTATTTTATTGTATTTGTAATACATATTTAAGTGGTTGTTCATTTTTTAAATACATAGAAACCATTAAAACGTTAAAGAGTTTAGCCAACAATTACAAAGCTTCGTCTTTAACTGCACAATACGTATTATTTGAGCAAATCCACAAGGGCCGTGACGAGGATTCGAACCTGCGTCCGGGAGCATCCCAGACACTGCCTTAATCGACTGAGCTACGACAGGGTTAAAAGGGTTGAAACCGAAGTTCTACTGAACTTCCCGGACGCAGGTTCGAATCCTCGTCACGGCCCTTTGTGGATTTGCTCATTTGAGGCATCACATTAGTGTGATCTCTGTGTATAATGTATTATTTGGTTCGTTAAAACAGGTGTATTAAATAATTTTGACTAGGATGACAGGTGACATTTTTATCTATTTAGTTAAAGGTCTTCCAAAGACGTCAATGACACCATTTGGTAAACGTTCTCTGAAGAACTTTTGCACCTTTGTTATGGAGAACATAAAAATAACATAGGTGCTGTGTCCGACAATAAGTGGGAAAATTCACTTTATGTAAAGTACAT